TTATTTTCAGGGGAGGGCTTATTTTGGCCCATGGACCCGGATTGTTGTTGGGGGCAATATGCTGACTCTGTAAACCGCTTAGAGAGGGCTGAAAGCCCTATGAAGTGGTATATAAGTCTAACTGCTATTGCTATTGCTATGTGGGCAGTACGTGCACACAAGTGCATGCACAGGCCAGCCACTCACACTGCCCGGTGGCCAACAGGCCACGGCCATGGCCCACAGGTTGGAGACCCCTACTTCAAGAAACTCAGACCACTGTTAGTTCAGAAAATTGTCACCTCCACTTCCATCCAAACACTGCAGCCTCTTCACCTCCTCATACTCACTCCTCAATCCACTTCCAAACTTCCTGGAGAAATTCATCACGTGAGAGATTTTGCCGCAAAACTCCCCGTTCTTTCCAAATCTTTTTTTCTACCACTGCCTGGTCAGGTCAAGAAAGAACATAAAAACTTGTGAGAGATTCACTAGTGAGATGAAGAATCTATCCAAATAGTATACAAATAGTCCTCGACTTACGACCACAGTTGAGCCCAAAATTTTCCACTGCTAAGCAAGGCAAGTGAATTTTGCTCCATTTTATGACATTGCTTGTCACAGTTTTTAAGTGAACCACTGCATCTGTTAAGCTAGTAACACACTTGTTAAGTGAATCTGGCTTCCCCACTGACTTTGTTTGTCAAAAGCTCACAAAAACTGATGATCCCGGGATCCTGCAACCATCATAAATACGTGCCGGTTGCCAAGCATACAAATTTTGATCATGTGACTTATAGGGATGCCGCAACAGTCATGAATGTGAAAAGCTAGTCATAAGGCACTTTTTGCAGTGGTATGATAACTTCAGTCACTAAATGGGTGGTTGTAAATCAAGGACTACCTGTGTATTTAAATGTGCTGAGATTTCTTTTTATGCTTTCTGGTTGGATTCTGCCAGAATAAGGAGTCTCCCCCTTGGGGCAAATTGTTGTGTTAAAATATGCACATGGCTGTATATACACATCCATACCATTTCCCACTCCAAGAATCCTTCCAGTTAATTCTAAACAGGTTAGAATCCTTACAGGAAGCAGAAGACTTATCCATGGTTATTCAGGGTTAAAAGATTCAGCTTTGAACTGCTGATTCTCACCTGAGTTGCAATTCCAGCATGATCAGAACCTGGAAGCCATAGAACTCGATAGCCTTGCATTCGTCTCCTGGAACACATCAAAAAGAAGCAAATCTATGTATAATTGTAAGCATTGACCATGTTATACTGGTAAGACTTTTTATATGTTAAATGGACTAATGATGATGTAATGAATAATTAATACATATATGAATTGAACGTGGCACGACAAAAACGCGTTCCACTAAAGCGCACCCGATTAAACCGCGTCGCTGACGTCATCAGCAGCGCGACAACAGCGACCGTGGAGAAAAAATGGCGCTTTAAAAAGCGCTTTGAAAGCA